GTCAGAGGATTATAAACAGACACTTTCTATATACAGACAAGAACAAACCTTATGCAACTCTTAGTTCAATTAAAAATAAGGCAAATGAGTTGCCAAATTAACTTGCAGAAAGGAGATAGCATCTCAAGCTCCAAAACCTGTTTTTTTATACTTGATCCCTGAAATATCTCCCAAGTATTTTATTTCAAACATGCCAACAGCAGAGGAGTTTGCAATTAGGAAACATGAGGCAGTGACTCCAGCCACCTGCCAGCTGGAAAATACATCACCAGAAAAGGAACCCACATCACTGTCATGTGGAAGAAGAGTGCCAGTAAGTCAGCATGGATAGGGCAACAGGTCAAAACTAAGCAGCCCTTTTAGAGAAGGTAAAGAAATAACCTCTACTTCCACAGTGATACTGGAAGACAGCATATATTCACTCACACAAGCTCAAAAGCACAGTGAGAAATAACATGATTGGCAAACACAGCCGTTCCCCCACCCCGTCATGAGACACGTTCTCTTCAAAAGTCCCACACCTGCAGTTTGCTCCCAACAGTCAGCATCTTGCTTTATCAGTGGAGTGCCCTGGAAATTTGGCCTTAAGAGCAGCTTGTAAAATGAAGTAACCATTAATTTTAAATTCAGATTTTCATTCGCTTTAAGGGGGGGGGGGAGGTCAAAATTATGCCTTTCAAACTGCTCAAGACAAACCCAGACTCAAGACAGGCTCCTACAGTCGGACTCTATCAAGCTTTTGCAAGTGGGACTATTGACAGGAGCCTGCTTACTTAGCCAACTTCCTGCCTGTGGGGAAAATGAAATGAGAAGGGGCTTCTAAACCAATGCTGCCAAATTGTCCTGAATGCTGGCTCAGTTCCCAGGCAGCTGGACCTTAGGTGAACCGCTGACTAGTTCCTCCTCTTGGGTCCCACGAGGCATATGCTATGCATCCCCAGAACCTCAGACATGAGAAGATGATGGTCTGTGGCTTGCAGAACCATCTCTTTTCTAGGGCAGAGCTGAGCCATAACGGAACAGTATGTGACTTCCCTCCTCAGATAACATGGCGATGCACTTAAGTTACGTAGCTTACTGTACTGTGTCTGTACTTTTTCTGCGAATGAAAGGTTTGGGGTTGGGTCTTATGCTTAAAATAAGCATGTTTTTCCACATGCCGTTCTCTAAACTGTAAAAAAAGAACAAAAACAAAAACCCACCCCAAATAAGCTTTTCTGCACCCTGACACACAATCATAAACACCACACTGGTGTCTCCTCATGGCTCCAAGTACCTGCGGAAAAGATATCCATTGCACGTTTTAACTCCCCTCTTGTTCGCTGATTGCTGCTTGCCAAGTCTACCAAAGGAGTTGAAGGGTCCCGCATGTTTTCCAACTCCGTAGCAAACATACTGCCATCAACAAAACGCTCGGGAGCAATGTAACACGTTCTCCTCCGTGACGTGTCAAAGAAATAATTGAAGTCGGCGGGATTGTCTTCAGGAAGATAAGTTGGTTTAAAACTGGCAAAGTCAGTTAGAAGAACCCAGTTCCAGCTGGTCACCATGATGTTTTCTGTTTTAATGTCCCCATGGCGGACTCCAGATTTGTGCGCCTGGTCCACCGCAGTAAGGATCTGGAAAGCGATCCACCTTTTTTCAATGTTGTTCAGGAACGGCCTGGTGCTAATTCGATCATAAAGGTTGTCCCGTACGTACTGTCTGAAAAGCATCGCGGCCTTCTCGGACAGGGTGGCTTTCTGGAAGGGAAGGCAGTTCTGTGCCGAGTGTAACCTTATCTTCAGCTCCTCCAGCTCCTGCTTGTAGCTCGTCAGGGGTAAGGTCGGATCCTGAATGGCAAACACCTTCACGACCACCAGCCCCTCCCGGTGCTTGGCTCGGGCGACCTTGAAGAAGCGGGTGCTCCCCAGGCTCTTGTCGTATTCGAAGTCGTGGATGTCCGAGAAGTAGCTGTCCACCGAGAGGATCTGCGAGGGGGCGATGCCAGCCAGCTGGTTCCCCATGGCGGCA